CTTCTCCCGATGGCATAGTATTACTTAAGTCATCATATACCGATACTGTGAACTAATCGGAATGCCCATGGCAAGCACAGGCTCCATTTACTGTTTATTGTAAAATTGAAGATTTCGTTAGAAAATGGACTTTAAGATAATATCTCAGGAAAAATTATCCAAAAACTCGTACACTTGTTGTATGGCGGCCAATTTAATCATAAATTTTTTCAATTTGACAAATATAGCCCCAAATCTTTAACTAATATGTAGCCAATTTTGATCGGAAATTGCTGATGTAGCGGTCCAATTAGGATCGACCGCTGACGCGGCACGATCGGTGCTGACGTGGACGGCTTTACAATTTGTTTTTAGTTTCTTGAATTATTATTCTTTTTTATTTTTTTTAAAATTTTCATGTCCTAGGGCACTAGTATTAACATAGGGGATGCACGGTTTCCTTCTTTTCATTATATGTAGGATTATGTGCTTTGGAAACACTTGTTAAGCAACTAATTACGGAAACTTTACAATTTTCAATACACTACTTATTCTTGTGTTATGCACAATCAGGGCCTTATATATCGTATTATTCCAAAATGCATATTTAACCGCTTGATCGCAAATGGTTATTCATCTATCACTCACCATTTGCTTACCGAAAAAGGAAAGTCTAACCATTCCAATTCTCTTATTACACAATGCGATTTTAGAAAATCTTAATAAAAAATAACAGTTGAACGAAAAAGCACATAATTGCAAGCGAGCGAATTATTTTCCCCATTTGAAAAAAGAGGGAGGAGAGGTAACGTTAGTTGCAGCAACATTATATGGACGTTGCGATACAAACTTATATGTAAGTGAATGATCAAAACAATAGCTCGTATCAACGATGACGCGAATGGATTATATGATAAAAAGGATTAAATGAATTATGTACCTAGTAAAAATCCTTTTATGAAAACCTTACTAACTACCCATCGTTGCATTGCGTGCACGCCTTATTTAAGTGCAGGAAGAAATGACCATAATTTTTTCGTTAAATTTCAGCAAAAGAAATTGTGCATATATTATATAGTTTTCGATAATTGCATTGGCAATAGTCAAACGATAGAACAGGACGTTAAAATTATTTCTTCTTCGCCACGGCCGCTTTTCTCAAAGTCAACGACTCGAAACCTAAAAGTCGTCAAAAAAAAAAGAAGAAAAAAAATGTAAAACTCGTCGAAGGACGAGAGGCAACTCAGCATCGCCCACGTGGCAAAATGCAGACACCGCCGTCTCTCTCTCTCTCTCTGCATTTAAATGATCGCTGGCATGTCAATGGAGCTGCCATTGTTGCACCTGCAGAGCTTCTGCAACCTGCTTCGTCCTTTCGCATATCCCCGAAACGTTTCGACCGCATCCCAGAGGAGAAGCGGTCCGCCTGAGCTCCGCCACGGGGGGAGGACCGCCTCCAACTCCCAGCTTTTCCGACCGAACTTCGTGCATCTCCAGCTGAGAAGTTGATTTCTGTCTTGCCCCTTTTGCTTATAATATCAAACTCATGAAAAAAATTGTTTTTTCTTTCAACTCTAATTCAACCAAATTATTTTTTTTCGGAAAAAAAGTCTCATTTCTTTCTTCCAACACTCGCGGATTGGGGATAATTATATAAAAAAAAAGTTATGAACTTATTGTACGTCAACCGATTCAATCCTAAACTTTTCAATTTGATCAATTTAGTCCTAAACCTTTTGATAATTTGTCAATATAGTCTTTCCGGCCAATTTTGACTGCAAATTTCTAACGTGAATGTCGGCCATCTTACGTGACATTGGCCACAATGACGTGGAAAATTTTTGCAAATTTTTTATTTATTTTTTCAGGTCCTTAATTTTTTTCCATTTTTCCATCTTTTCTTTCCTTTTTCCCTCCGCTGGTCCATGGCCTCGGTAATGGTTGGCAGAGGTCTTAGCGACGCCCTCGCCTAGTGTACCAACTCTTGCCGGCTCATAGTGAAAAAGAAAAGAAAAGAATTAAACAATTTATAAAAAAATCTGAAAATTATGAAATTGCAAAAATTATCTATGTCAGTGCCGGCAATGCCATGTACAACGGCTAGCATCCACGTCAATAATTTCCGTTAATATTGGTTGGAAGGACCACATTGACAAATCGTCAAAAAGTTGTAGTGGCTAAATTGAAAATCTTAGAATTGAAATGGCTGTTGCACAATAAATTTATGATTTTTTTTGAAATTTTCATGGGCATAAGCTATTGAAGACAGTTGTATCGTAGACCCATTAAAACAGTTGGGCTTTCCTCCTCTAACCAATGAAAACCTATTTTCTAAAATTTTAACTGACAAACGCATAGTTTTAGCCTTCTAAATATAAGTTAAAAATATGGGTATCCAGCCCATTTTGCCACCTCTAATCACGTACCATGAAGTTAGATCATAATGCGTAACTTTTCGGAATGACTTTCTTTCCAAAGATCATCAGCGACCGTAACCAATCATCATCATCACCAATGAAATCACAACTCTTCATTTTTCTTCATTTCCCTTGATGGCGAAGATCATGTCAAAATCAGGGAATAGACCAAATCGTGGCGATTTGGCAATGACTTTTCCACGGGTTCGAAAGTTCTATGATGATGAAAGTGAAGGCGACGAAAATCAGCATCTTGAAAAAGAATGGTTCCAGTTTCTTCGTTCTCGTGCGCCGCTCACGTTCCTTTCCATTGTTTTCCGTCTTTGCCGGACGAGAGTTTTTGGTTTCTTGGCCGGCACGTTCATGCCATGTAGGGAGGATGTCCTGTCTCTTATTCTTATGGTTAGGACAACAGGGTGAATGCACTCGATCGTGTATACCGGGTTGCCTTTATCTCCATTTGGTTTATAATTATATGCGGATATCAATTTAGTCGTAAATTTTTCAATCTTACTAATTTTTTTTTGATCGAACAATCTTACTAATTGGCCAATTTTACTAATTGAGTGATAACTCTTTTGATAATTTGCTAATGTAGTCTTTTTGGCCAGAATCTACTGATGTTAAATTGGCCAAATTGAAAAGTTTAGGATTGAATTGGTATCTACACAATAGGTTCATGACTTTTTTGATAATTTTTCTTACGTGCATATGTTGCTCGAGTTTTTTTTTGGCGATTTCGTGCAATGTCACACCTATTTGTGCAGTCGTGCTTCTCCTCTTCTAGATTGCTATTTCAAATCATATACGTTGACTTTCAATCAATAATACAGAGGAAAATAAATATATCACGAAATTTCTTATCATTTTCGTGAAGTGCAAGACATATTGAGTACATCTTAAATAATTAATTTTTCACAATCTATAATGACATTGAAGTTTTCCACTATATATTGCGAATGTATGATCTCCCGATGGAATAGTATTAGTTAAGTCATCATATATTGATACTGTGAACTAGCCGGAATGACCATGGCAAGCACAAGCTCCATTTACCATTTCTTGTAAAATTGAAGATTTCGTTAGAAAATGGACTTTAAGATAATATCCTAGGAAAAATTATCCAAAAAGTCGTACACTTGTTGTATGGCGGCCAATTTAGTCATAATTTTTTTCAATTTGACAAATATAGCCCTAAATCTCTAGACAATATGCAGTCAATTTTGGTCGAAAATTGCTGATGTAGCGATCCAATTAGGATCGACCGTTGACGTGGCATGATCGGTGCTGACATGGATGGCTTTACAATTTGTTTTTAGTTTCTTGAATTATTATTCTTTTTTATTTTTATTTTTTTAAATTTTCATGTCCTAGGGCACTAGTATTAACATAGGGGATGCCCGGTTTCCTTCTTTTCATTATATGTAGGATTATGTGCTTTGGAAACACTTGTTAAGCAACTAATTAAGGAAACTTTACAATTTTCAATACACTACTTATTCTTGTGTTATGCACAATCAGGGCCTTATATATTGTATTATTCAAAAATGCATATTTAACTGCTTGATCGCAAATGGTTATTCATCTATCACTCACCATTTGCTTACCGAAAAAAGAAAGTCTAACCATTCCGATTCTCTTATTACACAATGCGATTTTAGAAAATCTTAATAAAAAATAGCAGTTGAACGAAAAAGCACATAATTGCAAGTGAGCGAATTTTTTTCCCCATTTGAAAAAAGGGGGAGGAGAGGTAACGTTAGTTGCAGCAACATTATACGGACGTTGCGATATAAATTTACATGTAAGTGAATGATTAAAACAATCGCCCGTATCAATGATGACGCGAATGGATCATATAATAAAAATGATTAAATGAATTATGTACCTAGTAAAAATCCTTTATGAAAACCTTACTAATCACCCATCGTTGCGTTGTGTGCACGCCTTATTAAGTACAGCAAGAAATGACCATAATTTTTTCGTTAAATTTCACCAAAAGAAATTGTGTATATATTATATAGTTTTCGATAATTGCATTAGCAATAGTCAAACGATAGAACAGCACGTGAAAATTATTTCTTCTTCGCCGCGGCCGCTTTTCTCAAAGCCAACTACTCGAAACGTAAAACTCGTCGAAAAAAAAAGAAGAAAAAAAACGTAAAACTCGTCAAAGGACGAGAGGCAACTCAGCACCGCCCACGTGGCAAAATGCAGACACCGCCTTCTCTCTCTCTCTCTCTCTCTCTGCATTTATATGGTCGCTGGCACGTCAATGGAGCCGCCATTGTTGCACCTGCAGAGCTTCCGCAACCTGCTTCGTCCTTTCGCATATCCCCGAAACGTTTCGGCCGCATCCCGGAGGAGAAGCGGTCCGCCTGAGCTCCGCCGCGGGAGGAGGACCGCCTCCAACTCCCAGCTTTTCCGACCGAACTTCGTTCTGCGATTCCTCCGTTCGTCGAGATCTCAACGAGCACGAGCAGTTCTTTTGCCCGCATTCTCCCTCCCTCCCCCTCTCTCTCTCTCTCTCTGGGATTCTTCGCCCCCTCCGTCGTTCGTTCGCCATTTTCTTCAGAATTTTCCTTTCGGTCAAAAGCTCGAAGAGGAAGACCGGCGCGGCGTGCGTTGCGTGTGGGGCACGGTGGAGTTTCTTCGGTAGCGCGTTCGGCATTTCTGCGGAAGGGTTTGAACCGAATCTGATCGGCTTTTCCATCTGGGTCTCCCATGAAAGTCATTACGCACGGTATGCTCTCTCTCTCTCTCTCTCTATTTTCAATAGGGAAAGAGCACTAAAAGTTAGCCGACATCTCGTACGTCTGAAAGATTCTCTCTTTCTAACGAGGTTGACGCAGGGTCATCATCATTAAACAGTCTTGTATTTGCTTAGACAAAAACCTCGTTGAAGATTGCGTTTGAATATGTGAATGAAGTTGTTTGTCCAATTCTGGCGCTTCCAGATTCTGTAGATGTCCATACTTAATTGTAAAGCCCATTCAATAATCAGTAGACATTAAAAGGCATTGGGAATGCTCGGTCTGTTCGGTCCTGTCTCTCTCGTCTTTGACGCCGAGCGTCGCGGGGCACGTTGTCTTGACATCTTGCGAAAGATGTGAATTTGCGAAACTTGATGCCAGTTAGAAGCAGACGCAACTCTGATTCAATGATTGCCCAAGTTTGCTCCCTCTGTTCTGGTATCCGCCAAATTAGTTCTGTGTCATGTTGTTTACCTTTTCAATTCAATAGAAAAAAAAGGGGATTAACAGTGCACTTAGATCAAATTAAAATAAGAACAAATTATGCGCATGCGGGAGATGAGAGCAAACCGTCCAATTCGGCACCTAACCAACAAGCTAGACTTGGTCAGAGCTTGTGATTATAATAAGCTTATCCCAGGATTTACTTAATTCGAGTGTCGTCAGCAAAATTCGGTATTTTATGAGATGTCGATGGAATCGTTAAGGACACTTCTGGTGAAGAATTATTATTGTCAAGCACGTAAATTAGCTTGTGCCTGGGATCGGAATCGATCATCTTCCTGCCATATCTAAACATTTGACGAGTTTAAATGGCAGGAATCGTGTGGGCACTGTGGGACCAAACTTGTGACTGGAAGGACTTCATTATTTCTCCTGTAGGTAACAATTCGTTTTCTGTTTTTGACATGACATTGTTACTTTTAGTCATGTATCACAATCTGATTATGCATTTCATTTAGAACTATTTACATAATTATTGTCAATATGGTGGGAGCCTGGGAGGCGATCCATCAGTTTGATATGTTGTAAAGTGACCTCTACTAGCAAATCTCTCTCCCCTCTGTCTAATGGTATGGTTGCCATTTTGCCTTGTGAAATGTCCCCTTTTTTGTATGTCTGGCCACGTTTTACTTGGATTATGTAAAGGGGGAACCGTTGAATAATCTTGAATTTAGAAAAGTAGACAAAGACATTAGGTGAGTAGCCCTACGTACTATGATGTCCATTTCTTGCGAAATCTCTGGAAATACTGTTACATATTTATCCCGCTGATTCTGCAGCTACTGCAAAATCATTTGATAGTACATAGCTCTGCTGGTGGGACATGGAACTCGAGAATGATGACCGGGAACCTAGACGAAGCATGTCTCACGGCAGGACAAGCAGCACTGGTTCCTCATTGAGACGACGCTCGTTGAGTTTGTCAAGTGTGTTTCCCAATCAGCTGGATGATGACATTGAAAGTGAGAGGGTTTCAGAGGCTGGCGATATCGGGGATCGGGCTCTTAGCAGTAAGAGGTACAGTGAAAGTGGCAGTGTGCGTTTATCTGCAGATCATGCTATAGAGAATGGAATAGTTTTTCGAACTCAAGAGGACACCCTGCTGCATCCAATTGGTTTCTGGTCTCGCGATCCATCGAATTTGAATTTTGTCTCCCCTGTATCGCCCGTGGTGGAAGAGATCATATCTCCTCTATCAACTGATGGAATCTTGAGGCCCATAGACGAAAAAAAGGTGAGTTCAAGAGCTTTTCTATTTATCTTGCTATTTATATCTTGACATCGACATCTTTCATATTCCTTTCCAGTAAAGTAATTTTATCTATGTGATACTGTGCAGGATGAAGAGAAAGTGTTGCCTCAGTCATTGGAGTATATATCATGTCTTGTTCATCTTGCTGTTTTTGGGATTCTAGGGGTAATGTGCTGCTTCAACTTTTGGAAATTTTGGACTAGCCTCGAAAAAAATATTTGAACTAATCTTGGATCGATCCAAATGATATGAGTATTTCCATATGAGAAATGACGATACTTCCTGTGTTTCCATGTGAAGAATTGATACTTTCTAGGAACAATTCGGGGAGATTTCTCATGTGTCATCTGCTAAGATTCTTGATGTTGGAAGGCTGTATATCATTCAAGAGCCCTGAACAATAGCTGTAATATATGTTAGAACTTCCATTGGCTTAGGGATTCATGTAAGTAAACATGGTATTTCCATCTAAATACAAAAAGTCCAGTTCTGGCTTAGGAAGATCTAGTCCCTAACTCTTGGCCTTGAAAATGACTTGTCAAAAACTCGTTTCTAAGGGTGGTCACTAATAGTCTAATGCTTCTTAGTGAGCAACAAAAATCTTATCTGTAAAAGCTCCTGATGCATTGTTCTGTTTGCTGGATTGAATTAAAGATAATTTTACCAAATATTGTGAGTGTCTTCATCCTACGATGCTTCCACTAGCTCTATGATAATGTGCTTTCAGGATTGAGAGTGCTACGCATTGTCTTAGTAAGCCTGTCCCATGTTAGTCAACTATACACTCTCCCATCAAGGATTGTGTCAGCACATTTTGTCTTGGCTCTGTCCTTAACTTCGGAATGATACTTCTTTATCATCAACCATCTTACTAGTAGCCTGCACTAAATTACTGCATTGATAGGTGATGACTTGATCAAGAAGATCATGTCTTATAGATTAAGTTTGTGGCTACTCTTCTCTTTGGAATGACTCGGCTATTCGCCTGCAGTGATGATCATTACAGCAAGTCTGCATACACCATTGAGGATCTAAAATTCAATCGACCTACAATGAGAGAGAGAGAGAGAGAGAGAGAGAGAGAGAGAGAGAGAGAGAGAGAGAGAGAGAGAGAGAGAGAGAGAGAGAGAGAGAGAGAGAGAGAGAGAGAGAGAGAGAGAGAGAGAGAGAGAGAGAGAGAGAGAGAGAGAGAGAGAGAGAGAGAGAGAGAGAGAGAGAGAGAGGTCAGTGTGGATGCTCGTGTGAATTGTTATTTATCAGCAAAGGAAACAAATTATGTCTCAGCAGTAGCATTTACCATTGAGTTTTAGTAAGTTATCACCAAGCTAGTAGTGAAGACTGTAAAGACTGACTTTTCTAGCCCATTAAGTACCTTCTGAAACTTCTTTTCCCTTTGAATTTTGTATCAGCGTTTATTTATTATTCATGAGAGTCATTTGGCCTTTTTTGTCGGATTTGTAGTATATATATTTTTTATTGATCTGTAGGTAGGCTGGTGGTGAAATATGATAAGTATAGTATGCAGAATTTCATGCTTAGTTATTCTAGTAGCTTCCTGATGAGCTCCGATGCTTCCGTTTTGGCTAAATTTTTTGTTTTTTTTCGTTATGTCCGTTCTCTAAGGTTTTTTTTGTTAAATATTGCTGTCTTGGCTTGCAACTTAAAATTATGCACAGAAGACGGAGACTGACATTCGATGAGTCATGACTTACAGGTCTTAACAAGGTATTTACTTGAAAAGTTATTTGGCCCTGCAGTTGCTGGAGTGACAAGTGATACAACTATATTATACCTTGATCTTCCTTCAAACATGGTCACATCTCTCTCTCTCTCTCTCTCTCTCTCTCTCTCTCTCTCTCTCTCTCAGTTGCCTGCCCACACAGATGAACAGAAAACCGTATGCATATACTTCGTGACTGTGATGAGATCATGCACATGGCATACAGAGTTTTTGTGCTTAAGTTCGCACGCAATCAGAAACGTGCTTATTGGGACATGTTCATGAGGTGCATGCTAGGATAGGATGGGATTACTTGGATGACTCATTTTGTGCTCTTTGAATTAGTATTTCGGCAAGATGTTGGATTTATGTCATTGGAACCGAAATATACCCAAAAAATTATCTCTTGATTTCACATGGTAATTGATCCTTGATTGTACTTATCTTTCCTTCGACTTAATACTTCATTTCAGGTTGGTTCTTTTCTGATGGGGTGGTTTGGTGTTGTATTCAAGCAAGATATATCCGAAGTCTCTGACTTTCTAGTGATTGGATTGTCAACTGGTTATTTGGGAAGCCTTACGACATTTAGTGGTTGGAATCAGAAGATGCTTGACCTTAGTGCAGATGGCAAGTGGCTGTTTTCAGTCCTGGGATTTCTCATTGGTATGTAGTCATGGGAAGACTTAAGTGTTAGTGTTTACGCAAGAAGCGGACATTTTCAATTTAGTTGCATCAGCTTTATCATGGTAGATTGTTGGTACCAAGTGTCATGTTCTGATTCCATCGACATGGAATGACTAGCCTTATATCTATAATTCTTTGCAGGATTATTTCTTGCAGCCTATTCCATTGAATTCGGGGTGGAGACAGCGAAGGGCTTCCGTTGGTTAATGAAGAAGCACCCCACGAATTCTAGCAGTGGCATATCTGCAAAGAGCTGGAGAGTTAACAGCCGTAAGCGTCACTTGTCTATGATTCTGGTGATGGTACTGTTGTTGGGGTCATTATGGGCTCTTAGTGCGATAATGCTGAAACATGAGTTTGGAAATGGAGGCAGTGATGCTCAACTGTGGTTGGGTTGCGTCGTCGGGCCAGTAGGTGTTTGGATCCGGTGGTTCCTAGCACGACTTAATGGGCGTGGGCTAGGAAAGACTGGTCTTTTAAAATGGGTTCCATTTGGGACCCTGATTGCCAATGTCTCTGCAGCTTGTGTCATGGCAGCTCTCTCTACTATGAAGGAAGCAGTAAGTCCACAAACTAATTTCAAGTTAGATAAATTGCACCAATACTTCTGCCATTGGAGGGTCATTACACTCGCACCATTTGCTGAATATCTGGACTCACATCTTAAAAGCCCCACCAGATTTGCTTGAATATCATGTACTCTGTTGAGTGAAATAGTACTTCCATATCTGTCTCACGTAAGACGAAACTGGTAGACATTTGTTCAGATTACGAAGAAACGTACAGTTTGGTGACCCTACTTTAACTTGGGCCGGTTCGTGTACATTGTAGAAACAAAAGTGATCTTTAATGTCTCGCGAATCCGTTATTTGCTTATTCTTTTGTTAGATCCACGTTAAATGGGACAGTTATCAGCAGCTCTAGTTATATCAATTTGTATTCTGATCATCTCAAACTTTTTTTTTGAAGGTGAATACCAAGACTTGTGACACAGTTGCCGCGGGCATCCAATTTGGACTTCTAGGCTGTCTGAGTACTGTGTCGACGTTCATGGCCGAGTTCAATGCGATGAGACAAAGCAAACACCCTTGGCGAGCTTATGCGTACGCGGTTGCTACAATAGCCGCCTCATTTGGCTTGGGAATCCTGATATACGATCTCCCTGTTTGGATAAAAGGATATGGGTAAGCATGTCGAGATGGCCTCCTCCTACTGTACTTCGGAAAACGTCTGAGGAACTCGAGAGGAGACCAGACCTGTGCACAGACAAGACGAGAGAACTCGCCTGAGTTACACCACCTAAGAGCTTTTTCATGGTGCTTCGAGCAAGCTGCATTATATGCAAGTATGCATTTACCCCCCATGATCGAGTTTTGACCTTGCACATGTTTGAGGAGATAGCAAATTACTACTTACACGAAACCGAGTCGTTGTACTTCTCACTTGTGATATGTATCGGAAGACCTTTGCCTGTGATCCAAAAGAAAAAGCTTAATGTTGACGTGATGATCGAACTCCATTTCTTCACGCTTCTATGGCAGCAAGAAGAAAGCCCCTATTGATCCGGAGAGTCAAGCCAGATCGGAGGAGCGGGAGCCGGCGTCGACGTGACGGAGCGCGGCGGCGGCGGCGGAGGCGGAGGAGCTAGGGAGAAGCAGGTTCATCTAGAGAGAGAGAGAGAGAGAGAGAGCGGTGTTTCCGAGATTTGCGTGCAATTGGATGATCGAATTCAGAGAAGCGACGATGTGTATATATATATATATGTAGAGAGAGAGAGGGGGCAAAGAATCGGTTGGTTATTGGGAGAGGCGGCGTCGAGGAATGCGGAAGCGGTGGATGGCGACGGAGGGAGCGGGAATATCGCGGCGGCGATCGGGCGGCGGAGGGAGCGGGGGATTGGAAGTTTCTCTTTTTCTTTTTTTTCTGATTTTTTTCGCCGGTTTGGAAATTGCGTAGGAAGAAACCGAGGAAGAGGACACTTGACCAGTCGGATCGGGGGGGGGGAAGGGGGGGCAGCTGTTGGAGGACGGGATTCTCTGCGACCGGACGTACTGTAGATAGGGGGCGTGGGGGGGCTCTGGGAGATCGACACGTGGGGGCTCGACGTGGGGACACGCGGAGACCGTACGGTTACGGTCTTGACACGTAGTATGAGGTCGGTGGGGCGTGCGCGCGCGCGCGAGAAGGTTGAAGGCAATATATTCCTCGCTTTAATTCGATGTACAATGATTTTTTATTTGATCTGACGTGCAATAGCGTTCATGAACTTTTAATTTGTTCAATATTCAATATTTAATGTGGTCTATGAACTTTTAAACATTTATCGATAATTTAAAAATCATATTAAATAAATTAAAAATTTAGGAGAACGACATTTCATATTGAAGCAAAATTCAGAGACTATTTTTACTACTATCCCTGTCACACAGTCATTTTGGTGAAAAACTCTTACTTGCATTGGGTGTCCATGAGCCCACTCAATCTCAACCCTCTAAAATTATGGGATCTGCATGAGTCTTATGATCATTGAGTGACTGAGATTAAGCGTGTGACGTCCCTGGATTAACTTATTCGAGGTGTTATCCGATTTGGCCCATCCATACAGAGCCTCACGGTTTTGTCATTCGGCGTATAGGTAAACACTTTTCCACGAGATCATCCATCATTGTAGTGCTTTAGCCCGAGCATGCTTAACTTTGAAGTTCCAGAGAAAACTTTATTGTTAAGTTAAAATGCGTCTACGTGAGTTAATTTCAGTTTTCACTTAAATACATATTTTGTAATTTGGTTTATTCCTACCCTCTTCGCCATTTAGGAAGCTTGTCGGTAACTCCTCCTTATCTTAACCCTTTGGCCCCGGTGATTACTTCTCACCCTCGTCAAACCAGCTCGTTACAAAGCGTGCTCATGAGCTAATGTCTCTTGTCGGGTTCCCTCAAGAACTTCATTAGCTATGTTTAATTATAGTAATTCAGTTTTTGAAATGGTTATTAAAAAACCGACAACCTCATATGGATTAGTATTGTTTGACGGTACTTCGATTTTTAATTTATAACTCGACTCATTCCTTCCTCTTCGCCCTCCTTGAAGTCTATTAAGAGTCGAGCTTTTCGAGTCCTCTTGCTCTGTAATCACTTCTCCACCTTTGTCACGTTAGCTAGTGCCTACTTCGTCGAACCACACATGTACTACTTGTGCTTTGTTTTGATACTATTTGTAACAATCTGGCTCGTTTTTTATATGGGTCAAGCCCTTAAAAGGAGTTTTCCAGTGATCACATGAGGTGGGGGATTATTATACAAAAGTAAACCTTATGTTCAAGTCCTAAATTTTTTAATCAAGTCACATATCTTCATTGAAATTAAGCTATAAAATTTGTTGAAAAGTATAATTTAGGAATGTCACACAAGAAATTTTACGTGTTGTTTGTGAAAATGACTTGATTGCTCTATTTAAAAAAAAGAATAGGCATTTAATTGAATCAATATAAAAGTTTAGGATTTAATTGTATTCCGAACATAGGACTTTTGCTTCATTGCTCCTCACGAGGAGGTCACTACTTAGAAGTGGGTCTTTTTTTTATGCATAACTTAAGAGGCCTTCCCCATCTGAAAGGGACTTTGGGATTCTAAAATATAAAATTGGATGTTGGAAAATTGTGTCTATGCTAAAGTTAAAAAAAAAAAAACTCCCCACATAAATAAGGAAAAATGACACAAATGGTTTAATAACTTTGGCCCAATGTCTGTTGTCCCTAGAGTTTTAATTTGTCCAATGTTGACCCTGAACTAGTAGTAAATGTTCAATATAGTCTCTCCTTTTACTTAAACAACATAAGATGTTATTTGATAACACAGATTATTATATAACGAGTTAGATTTTTAAAAATGAGGAGTCAAAATGTTTATCTTTTTATCATCTACCTTAGAAAAGGAGAAAAAACTAGAACGTCAACATGTCCATCATCATTTGATGATGTGGATTATTATATCTTAATTTGAGATGAATTCACTTGAATTTTTTTTTATTGTCCGCGGTTCAAACTTAACTAATTGGAACCAGCGTTAGCAGATTCCATTGACTTGAATTAACGGAAAGACGACATTGAATATTTTCATATGGTTTAGGGATTATACTGAATATTTACCAATAGTTCATGGATCAATTGAAGATTAAAAATTTAGGGATGACATTACACATTGTACAAAAGTTCAGTGACTGTTCGTGTCATTTTCTCCATGAACAAATGAAGGATACATTGGCTTTATTCAGTTGTTTGGAGTAATTATTAATTTTAATTTATCATGTTTATTACATCCCAAGTCTCATATTAGTTGGGAAAGACTCTATTGAGTGATTTATTAGTCGACATCCACCCTCAAATGGTCATCACTTTGTGCGGTCACTGGTTACTTAAAATATTCATTTTGAGGGTACATTGAAAGAAGCAAGTCGTTACAATTGTATATTATGGATCGCGTGCATTCACCTTCGTCAGCATGATATATCCAAAGTGCAGTTCAAAATACATATCGATATGTAGAACCACGTATAGTTTTCGCTTCCAAATTTTAAAACAAACAACCAGGAGTATAAGTTGTGCAAGTAACCTTTCCCTTCTGTAAACAGGAATTTAAGTTGGTATTTAACACAACCATGTACCAAATTACACCGACCAATTAACATCATAGGCTTTATTTACAGAATGATAATTCTTTTGTCTTCCCAAATTTGAATGAAAGCCAAGGCTGTGTGGATGCTATCTGGCCCAATTGAACACAACTCCAGGCAGGCCTAAGAAGGCTAAAAGATAGATCACAATGACATAAGCCCAGCAGTCCATAGAGCAGTTGAGCCAAGCCTGGCCTAGCTACTCGAACCCTTCTCCAGCTAAGTTTCTCTCTTGCTTTGCTCGACAATGTCCTTGCTTTCTTATGGGCCACATCTCGACATGTTACAATTCTTTTCGCGGTTTAATGAAACTATATTCTTGGCTGAAGCATGTGGACTTATGAATTCGTTTCATGTTGCATAGTTTTGCTTATCTAACGCAATTATTGGGCTCGGTGGTTGTCCAGGCGAGCTTGTATGATGAGTTGGGTGGGCTCGTTTGCCCATGGTCAGGTGTGCAATTCCTCCGGATGCAATTGTAGAGTGATGTCAAAACAACATGAGTCGCATTGTAGACCTGGCAAATGGATGGATTGGATGGGTCGAAACACCCTCTTTCTATTCAATACAATCTTAGACATGTATTCCTGATCCGACCTGGACATAGACCCAATTTATATTATTAAAACACATCCGTATTTAACCCGATAAATCAAAATGTAGACCCATCCATTTAACTCACTTTAAGCTCTTGTGTGAATTTGCTACTTGGATAAAGTTTCATATCAGATTAAAAAGGTAAATTAACAAAAAAATATATAATTTTTGAACGGAACGCAAAGAAACCCCCCCGCAGCCACCACACCGTGCCACGGTTAGTCCCTGCGCGCCGGGATTCGAACACTCAACCTTTGCGAGAGGAAGAGTGCGCGCTCCAAGCGCGCACCGGCGGTGGTAAAACAAATAAAATATGGTAGCAACTAAAGTAAAAAACCTCAAAATGGGAAAACTTATAAAGAACTAGAAAAATATGCATGCCTTGTGACGACACAATATTCTCATGAGAATTTTGCACTTTTATTTAGGCGGGCTTCCGTCACTTCAATATGTCCTCAATTATGCACTCCCGGAGAGCTCTAAAAAAACAAATTGTCGACTCAGATTCCAATAATGTCGCGGAACCTTCGAATGAAGCCATTTGTGATGACAAGCGCAGGAATTGCTACGACATCGGATCTACATCCAACGCTCCTCCTCTCCTCTCCTCTCCTCTCCCTCCTATGGAAATCAATTGGTGTTTTATTAGGTGATAAAAGTAGCAACAACTTTGGTTTAGGTATATAAGTCGAGTTAGGCTTTTGCCTCTTTCATGGCAAAAGCAAAGATGTCTTTTCCTTTCTTCACGTCCTGTAATGTCACATCACATGAAGGGTCTTCGCTTTTCCATGTTTAGGTAAGAAACCGTAGATTTGGTCCACTCGTTCTATAGCACCGACGGGTTTCCAGATCCACATCTTCTGACGATTTTCCTTTGAAAAAGACGTTCCTGCTTTGGAAATGAGGGAGACTATTCTCGTGCATCTCGAGCTGACACGTTGATTTCTGTCTTGCCCATTTTACTTATAATATTGAACTTATGAAAGAAATTGTTTCTTCTTCCAACTTTATTTCGGCCAAATTATTTTTTTTTGGAAAAAAAATGTCATTTCTTTAATTGATTGAAACGAGAAAATAAAACCATTGGCGGCAGCATATTGACTTTGAATTGGGCCTCAACTGTTCATTGAACTTTCAGGATCTAGCGCCGAGGCATAGAAACATTCGTGCACTGGGGTGATTACCAAAAAAGTCTTAAATTCATTTTTTAATTTGATCATTTTAATTTGATCAATTTA